CTTTTTTTTATAAATATGTAAATCAAATTAATTCAATAAATAATGTTTATTTAAAATTTACATTGATTGTTTTCTATTCAGAATGGAGGGGGGTAATATTGACTTACGCAATAATATTTTGGGGTAATGGTTAAAAAAGTTTCCCGGCCGCTGGTTTAGATTTATTTTTATTTTTAAATCTTTACTTCCGAAAGGTCAAACATTATTAAAAAAGAAACAAATAATCTATCTCAGAAATGTATGAAGTAATTTTACTTGTTCAATAAAAAAAATATATTTTTATAAATATAACAAATTATCGAACATATTTTGAGAGTTGTTCATAGTCAGTTGAAATTAGAAAATGTTATATTTTATTCAAATCTAGCGAAAAACGCTACACTTATATAACATTATGATTTCCATAATATTTTAGTTATCCAAAACTATTTCCCACATAGCTTTTGATGCTTTTTCATTTATTATCACACCTTTCTTCAAGATATATTTTTAATCCTAGTTACTGCACTTTTTATAGTGCTTGTATATTCATTTGGTCATTTAATTATTACCAAATAACTGAAACAAAATAACAAACTAATTGAGTATAATTATGAATCTATCAATACATTTAAATTTATTGAACTTTTGATTGTGATCATAAATCATTTTGGATACGCATATCAAAGCGAGCATACAAGACGAACACCCATAATCTCGAGTCTCTTGTGTTCACCTGACACTCGGCAGACAAAGCAATATGTGATAATACACATATTGCAAAACCACGTTTGTTTATCATGTTAAAATTCAATAAAATCTTGAAAAATACTCCACGATTGAGTTGCTTATTAACTATTAGAGGAAAAAAAATACAATTGTGTGTTTTGAAAGTGAAATGTATGTGATTTAGAATAGATTATGCATTTGGAATAAGGAGAGAACCTTGAAAATATATTTTTTTGTTATTTTTAAGTTATATTTGAACTATAATTAAGTGTATAATTTACTGCACTGCCAAGGACCGTGACAGATTACGAACCTACATCAGGATTAAGCGGGCCGAGTTACGAAACATTGCTGAATAAGATGGGATGTTTTGTGCTTCCTAAAAATCAATTTAGATTGAATTCGCAGATTGTTGAGTGTACATGAACTCAATTGCAATTACAAAAGTAAAACATCAATCAAAGTGTTTATAAAGCCGATCCGTATCTGAATAGGTTAAAACAAATAATTATCTTTTATATACGCTCTTTAAAACAACTTAAGAATTAAATTTTGAAGAATTTTGTTTACATAAATAATCGGTTTTTACGTCTGTTATTGTGTTAGTTTCTCAATTTGTTCTAATTTCATAAATAATCCGGGATAATGGCAGCACCAATGTGCTCTAGAAATACATATTTTTTAATAATTCCAGATTTCATTTTTAAGATATTTCATAAATAACCAGCGCAATTGTATGATGTTTAACGCTTCTAGTTTAACATATATTTTCTTACTAGATTATAAATGTTTGTTTTTGTTCTAACCGAGATTTTTGGATATTACTAATATATACTATATACAATAATAAGTTAGTTAATAAAATAAGTTTCTAATAATAAATACTTATTTTTCCTAAACACATATTTTTTTATGTAAATATTTATAATATATTTTCAACTTATGATATTTATGTTTTTAAATTATATAAGTTTAAAATATAAAAGTTTTTTCTAAATGTTAAGTTATAACAGGTTGCAAAATTGCTAAATTGATTACAAAACTTCTAAAATATATAAAACTAGTTGATTGTTACACGATTCATTTAATATTCTTAAAATATAAGTTTTTAAGTTTGCAGAAAAAACAACTGTTTACTATCAATTTTTAAAATGTATTATTTAATATTTGACATTATTTATTTCGTATTTAATTATTATAAAGTTAGTTTATAAGGTTTAGTAATTAAATAAATTAAGTTATTGAACGGTATACCTTTCTACTTTTGACATCGTTTAACACAAAAATAGAAAAGAGAGATGCAAGTATATAAAAAATAAAAAAGCAGATAATTAAAAAGACATTATTCTTTAAAATTAAATTTCATTACGATCATTATTTTCTGAATCTATAGTATGAATCAATAGCAATTCTAAACAACGCGTTATTTGTCCTTGAACTTACTTATATATATATTAATAATGTTTGTATCATTTTTCTCATATTTAAATTATAAAATATCAATCTTTATTTAATTATTATAACATAATTTGCCACAGTATTTTCTCACATACATTTTTTTTGTTAGATTATGTGAGGAATCGCTAATATCTGTATTTCAAACCGGACTAATCAAACAGTATAATAATAAACATGTACAAAAGAGACATGTCTGTATAATGGGAAATAAAGATCATTTATATATACAAAAATAATGTATACAATTTTCATTTTGTTGAATTAAAATTTACTTTGATTAGAAATTTTCAACCAACTTAAAGAGAATCACCACTAATTAAATTTAGTTGCCTTTTCAGATACGTGTTATATTGGATTTTCCCACATTTAAATGATCATTTAACCATATAATAAATAGCATTAATCCTATTGAGTAATTCTAATAACTAATTTCTTTGCAAATTTACTGCAAACAATTCAACTAAAATATTAAATGTGCTTTTAAAACTCTGTAAATTGCTTTATAAATGTACCTCATTTGTCGACTTCTGCAGCTTATCTCATTTCAAATATAATGGGAAAATAAACTTTTAACCAATAAAAAAAGTTACTCGTAATTTGATTCGAAATTTTATTGACCTCGTCCTCATCTCTACGCTATTTTTTCAACTTCACAAATATATTTTTTACAGGATCAATTATGTAATTACGCTGAATAATTCGAGTAAATAGATGTTAGCGGCAGGAAAGAAAAAAAAAATACGAATAATGTGAAATTGAAAGTGCACGTGTTTCGAAGCACGCATCGTATTAGATAATTATATTTCGTACGAATTGATAAGTTTTCCGCGTTTTGAACATTTCCGCCCATCGCTCAATTAATTCTGGCATTGGTGAGCGCGCAATGCGTGTAATATAAAAAATATCAACGTAGGAGGTTGAAATGGAAGAGGCAGCTCTTGAACGGTCTTAATTGGTGATTTGCTGAATGCGTAAACCATCGATAACTCGGTGACCGCAAAACGATTCTATGTACATGTGCACTCGCTAGTTTACACCGTTCGAATGAATGAAGGATAATAGTTTATCCAGTGCGATGATACGGATCTTGTGTATTGTTATCGTCGCGCCATTCATAATCCTCTCGAGTTTGGCGTATAATCCCCCATCTCTGGGATGGATGGAGCAGTTATATAAATAGTTCGAGTCCGGCGCGTATTGTTTCAATTGTTTGGTGATTTTTCAAGTGATACGGACGAAATGAATTTCGCGCTAAAAGTGTTTTGCCTCGCCGTCCTGGTGGTCCACGGTTTCGCTCAGAATGAAAGTAAGTTCAAAGTTTTTGCTTTTCGTTTTTTATTTTGTATCCAATTTACGGTTTTGTTTTTAACATACTTTAATATTATCCAACAAATTCGAATATTTTACCATATTGAATTTAAATTATTTCCAATTAAATTTTATCCGCAAGTTAACACTTTCTTTTATTTTATTCCGAACTACTTTCAAGCTTTTACTTTCATTTCATTAATTATTGATTTACGATTATTTTCAAATCATCAATTGTCAATTCAAAAATATTATTAAATATAATTTTACAGATTTTATGAAATATAAATATTCAAAATTATTAAGTGAAAAATTCAAATGTATTTCTGCAAATTAAAAATATTATTGTTGAACCAATTAATTATTTCAATAATTCAGACTAAAATTTAAAAGAAAACAAATAAATTACTGAGATTTATATAATTATATTCAAATAATTAAAAATTGTTTGCAATAATAATGAACTAGTAAACTACTAGTTTCTCAACATTATTTTACTAATAAAGTATTTTATATACAAAAATAATTAATAAATGTATATTTTTTTAAAGCAAAAATCTTCAAATCAATTATATCTTTCTGAAATATTGTATTTCGAAAAATTCAGAAATTTTATAAAAACTTTCACTTTGGATTAAATTAGTTTTTAAAAATACGAAAATTATATATGAAGAAAAAAAGTATATTTTTTCAAAAAATTGAAATTTATTTAATATAGAATAATTGCAACAATTCAATTGATAAAATTAAGATATTTCTCATTATAAATCCATTTATCCATTTTTTACTAGTTTAAATTTGGGAAGTCTATCGATTATTGATTTTGTAGAACAAGTTATTTGATTATATTCTACTCATTTTATATTACGAATTATTAAAAAAATTGAAATTTATATAAATTTTTGTATAAATTATATTAATATTCTTGTTATTAATTATAAATTTTTCTATTAGTAATTAAAATATTCCAACAAGTAATAATCTCAAATTCAATAATTACGAAAAAAAGCAAATAATTATTTTTTTTTATTGACAACATTTTTCGTTTATCTACTTTTATTTTATTCATAATTTTAAAATGTAATAAATATATACAAATTACATATTATTTTAAATATATTCTAAAATTCAATAATTCGGCGAAAAAAAAGCTTTTTTTTTGTTTCAATGTTTTTTTTTTATAAATTTTAATTCAATTGAATTCAAATGAAAATATGGGTAATTTCCTATAAATTTGAACAAACGCATACATCAACATTTCAATTACAAAAACAGACAACAAATAATGCCAGTGTTTTGTAAAATCCACTTTTAATTGAATTGAAAATTGATTTTGCATCGCAAAAACAAACATAAATATAATACAGAATTACATCGTAATAAAATTTTACATTATTACAATCCTATTGACACAAACCGAAAACCCATTGAACTAGAAGTACAAATTCATTTAAAATTAATTAATTTCATTAATGGCGGACTTATGAAGTCTACCATTAATTGAATAAATTTAAATAAATAATAGTTCTTTAATAAAGTACAATAATTTAAACCGAATAAAAAAATCCGGTATTTTTGAATACAATTTAACACACTTCTATCAAACTTTATAACAACTTTCTTTAATTGTTGCCGCTCGGAATATTTAACCTCTCCGTGTGGGATTTATTGTGATTAATTTCGTTTTTTATTCAACTTTCTTGAATACTAAATTGAATGAGTTCCACTTTGATTATACGGACACATCTTCGCTTTTATTTATTGATTTTGAAATATTCGGATTTGGAAATTATTCAACGAATATTTATTGGCTATATGTATTTCGTATAAGACGATTCAGCGGAAACCGACAGATTTATCGTGAAAATAGGATAAGAATTTCCTTTTGTACTTAAATTATTAAAATTACGATAGGGAAATGCAACCGCAAAACCGCTTTTACAATTAGAACAAAAACGATTAAAATAATCTTAGACCAATTTCGAAAGTCTTATTTACTTCATAAATTTGCTAAAAATAATATTCTTTAATTACTTTAATAATAAATCAATCTAAGACTTTTATTTTGTATATTTATTTATAATTTACAGTGTTACAAGGCAATTCATTTATTATGACTTTAACCTACTATCGAATGAGATTTATGATTATTTAATATAGAATCATGAATCTATGTTGCAATAATTCAATTGCTCTCAATAAAATGCTATCACTTAAATAACATATTTCTCATTACAAATCTGACATTATCCAGTTTTTTTTACTAATTTAAATTTGGCAAATCTTATTATTATTGATTTTATAGAACACGTTATTTGGGGATTACCAGATCTATTTTTAACTAACGGCAGTTTATTTCCTGCTCATTTTTTTTTATCTAACTCGTATTAATACGTTTTTAATTTTAAAAAAGTAATTAAGTTTTCAAATATTATCAGGTCCCTTCATCTCGCCTAATTAATAAAGTTTATAATTCGCAATTTATTTCATCTAGTTCGTTGTCTTCAAAACTCGTAATTAAAGACTATTTATGAATAATTTTGTTAATTCAATATTTGTCAGCTAATTGAAAGAGCAAACAAGTTTGATAACGTTTATATATTGGTAACACAATCATTGATAAATAATTATTACATTTAATTAAATTCTCGCTAATAAATATTCTGTTTGTACATACAATATTCAAATAAATTATTTTAATTAATGTAATTTATATCTGCATTCATTCTTTATATATTTATTTATTAATTTACTATACTTATAGAACACTATTTTTTTCTGTATAACCTTACATGTAATTATTTACTTTAATTCATAAAATAAAACAAATTTCATTAACTTAGATTTGCATTTTGTAATGTATTATTCATTGATTTTCATTAATATTTTATTTTGTTAACAATAGTTTCTTCTAAAATAAGTTATAAAAAAATATTCACCATACTTTGCAACACTAATATTTTTTTCCTGTATAATGATTCCGAGATATTGACAGAACAGATTACTTTGACTTGAACATCTGATCGTAATGAAGTCAAAGTGCGGGAAATAATGATGTACGTAATATCGAACATCTGTTAATAATGTACTATAAGTGAATGACTACATTGTCCTTTTTAGTTCTAGCTTACAAAATATATCTTTTCTAGATGTTTCGTGTGGTTAAAACAAAAACATATAACAATAATAATACATCGATGTCGTATTTAACGGTTTCCGTTTTAGAAATAAATAATAACGCCGTGCATCGTATTTACATATTTCAAATAGCAGGTTACATTGTGAAGTAACTTCAACGTCTTTTGTCCTGTCATTGCTTGGAATTCCAAACGCGCGTTTTAATATCTGGAAATCCGAAGACGGGGAAATTTGAAAATGTAAAGAGCTTTTCTCGTGCTGCACGACGTTAAAGATACACGCAAAAATATACCAACAGGATTAATTTGCATTAATTATAACCACTTTTTATAATAAAAAAAGAAGCGAAACTAAAATATCACCTCCGGATATGATATTTTCTTTTTAATGAACAAGTACATAATGACATATCAAAAACAGAATTTAATTAACTCTTAACATTTTGAATAATCCATGCAGCCTTTGTTTGTCGCTTCAAAGGATAATATTAATTCAAAGTGGTAATTATTCAATAGAAATACATGTTATTTATATTTTTTAATTGTTTTGTTTTTTTTTGTTCTTGCTAGTTTGTGTCTATTATTGATCACTGGTAATTGCATGACCTGACGCAAAACGCATATTTTTTGTTTCGTTCTGCTGGTGTGTGAATTATTATATACATATTTTTTTGTACATTTATGATTTTGATGAGAAATATGGAAAATCATCAATCAGCATGGAAGCTGGTCGGCTGTTTTGTGATGTTTATTTTTGTCCGATCTGTTATTTTATTTTCATTGTTAATTTTACGGAGGCAAATTGCGTGATTTATGTATTTTATAAATAATATAGATATATTCTGACCAAATTAATTAAAAATAATTTAGAAGAATCAATTATTTAATTAGTATAATTTCTATCATCCTCGGCATTTTTAGAGTAACGAGCAATTTTTAAGTTATAGCCTGTTAAAAAAAGTCTAAAAAGATCACAATTTCTATTAGTGAAATGGTATTTCCTACGTAGCTACCACTATTAGTTTATATGGTGTGGAAGTGGGGAGCTGCATTTTGCTCCGGAGGTGCAGGTTGACATCCCCAGTTAAGCCATTATAATTTTTGACGTAAGGTGACACATGTCCCTTTGGGATTTTAAAGGACTTAACATGAATTAGATTGGTAGATGGTACAAGCGTATCAACTAATGACAATCAATAATAGTTACTAAGTCAGTTCATTTTTAGTACCACTAAGTTATAATTTTATATATGTCAAATGTATACAGATTAAATTAAAATCTTGATATAATAAAAATAGTTTTAAATATAATGTTTTTTTCGTATGCTATGTCCTCTTTATGGAAGTAAAGATTCCAAACTAGAATTAAAGTACTGAAATGATCATACTAATGGAAAGTAACTGTCGAGTATATTACTATTAAGATAATTACAGTAAATTGTAAAAATGAAATTATAATTTAAGGCTATTGCAAATTAAACAACCCTCAGCTTTTGATAAAATAACAACAGACAAAAACAAGGTACAAATATGCAAGCTAAGATAATACATCGTTCCATTTTCGTCATATTTTGCACATTGCAATTACCTTACTTATTTTTCCGACAAATCAACTATAAAAAATATATCGTAATACTTCGTATAGTGCCAAAACCGGATTAATCGAGGAACAAAAATTATACAAAAATAATCTATAGTCGGATTGAATAACCTATTATTTATATATAGCAAATAAATTAATACTAATCAATTAGAATTAAGTTTCCTCAATTAAAATTTAGTCTCTTTTGAAATTTTTAAACCTGGATTGATCGAAGCCGCACAATATGAATTATTTAATCTGTCAAACAGAATCTGTAAT